CCCACATACATACACACATCCATTTTTTAAGGTAGGTATGCCAAAACGTTCAAAAACTTTCGGAACGTATAAATATGCAAAAAAATACATATTTTCGGTTTTTGCACGATTACAATAACTTACTGTACGGGAAGTTAACAAAGCGACCGGAGTAGTTTATGTGGTGACACAGACAGATCAGATATAGCAAATTTAAATGTGGATGTTTGTGGCGAGCATAGCTCACTTAGTAGCGTGTTCGACTCACACGACAGGGATGGAAAATATATGTAGTTAATTTGAAATGAAATAAAATTGTATTTGTTAAGAAGGATTAGAATATAAATTGAGAAATATAGGAATTTAGTATTCGAATAACTGTATTAGAAGTGAAAAGAAAAAAATATTGGAACTAGCTGAGATTGAAAAAAGAATGAAAAAAAAATGGAATGAGGATAGAAGCTGAATAGAATAAGAAATTTGAATTAAAAGAGCAAGAACTGAAAAAAATTGAAAAAGATATAGAATAGGATATATATATATATATATATATATATATAATATATATTGAATACGATATAAAAATTAGTATATAATAAAATGTTGTAGATGGCTAAATGCTCAGAGTGCGAGGCCAAATATAAATTTAAAAAAAAAAGTGGATGCTATCTAGTACTATTTCAACGGCAATAAATAGATTTTCAACATTCATTAAATGCTTTATAAGACAAAATAAGTTCTTACTTACTACAGGTATACCCATCACATTGTCAAACGTATATATGTATTGACAAATGATATTCAAAAATAATGTTTAAGATTTGAAAACATGATTTCAAAAACAAAAAATTAATTAATTTACAATCTTTTAAATTTAATAGTCAAAACTAATTCAACGCAAACCTATGAATTACGGCATTATTTGAAGTTTTATCATAACAAAGAGCGATTATTTATTTATTCAAGATAAATATTATAATGTTATTTTGACCAATTCGCAATTCAAATTTGAATTGTATATATTAACTTTGAGGCAAATTTCTCGAACTTCCCGTAAAGTAATTAAACATTCGACGAATGAAAGTAATCAAGAACAAAATCCGATTAATGATTAAATTGTTTTAAATATTTTTCAATTATTAATATGAAAACTGTAAATTTCAACGTTCGTATTTGTTAGATCTAATATAATATAAGTGCTTATACTTCCGGTTTTTACCAAAAACTGATCATTTCTTCACATCGTCAACACTTCAATTGGATGCTCCGTTTCTTCAAAAACTGACTTTCTTTGCACTTTGTGTTCTCTATCTCCGTTGATATTTGGTCCTTGTATCCTTCCGAAAACTAATCAGCAATCTCTCCGTCTATAGTAATAGACTCTATACAAATCGATTGTTGTTTAAATTCTTCCAATCGGATGTTCCGTTTTCTCAAAAACCATAATTATTTGTACTCCGTATTTCGAAAACGCCTTTGTCAAAAACTAATCATCACGTCTTCTCGTCTATACAAATGAAGTATCTCGTTGAGGACCAGCGTTTATCGAGCTACGATCAGCTAAGCCGTTTCTATGTAAATCACAGAAAAGTGAAAAATTTTTCGTCCGCGTTTTAGACCGCAATTCTAAATCGATTTTGAAAATTCAAAACTGTACGAAAGATATTGGTTGGAAATCGTGCTGATTAGTTTTTGGTAAAGATCGGCCGGGCCGTTTTCTTGTAATTACGTGTTAAGAAAAAAATTTGATGATTTTTATGATTTTTTTATGGAGGGTAGAGCGGGGCTAGTTGATGATAGGGGTAAGTTGAGCAATCGAAATATCTCGAAAACTATTCACCGTCCGTTTAGGCATTATATGGCGGAAAGATAGAGTTTGGGAGAAATAAACATCCCGCGATCGCTAGTGGCCGCTGGACAAATGAGTGAGGCTCACGGGCGTTTTGTTTGTTTTGAGACCAAAAAGTAAAAAAGTCATCACGAGTTTTCGTCTGGTTTGGTCAAATGTTAATTATTCTTAATCAGGTAAATGTTTTTCTTCTTATAATTATAGTACTTTTAATATGCACAGAGATTCTGGGTAAATTCTCACGGTTTTTATAAACTGACTTTTATTTTGAAATTCCGAGTTGGGGTTAGTTGAGCATAGTTGCTAAACTTGTTCTGTCACTAAGACAATTACCATTAACTTCAAGAAATTAATTATTATTTTCAAGATTTAAGCTAAGTCTATGAGTAATAATTTAAAGAAATAATGATTTTAAACAAAAATACTGAACATAATGGTAAAATAATTCCTAAGATACAATATTGTTTTGTTGATTACTTTTCGTTAATTATTCAAAGCAAATTACTATAAGTTTTGTTTTCTCTTTCAATAAAGACTATAAATATAGAACTGGTTATTAAAACCTTATTTATCATCACTAATCGACATTGAACCTATGATTTCATTATACTTTCTTAGTGCTCAACTGGCCCCACCTATGGGGTACATTGAGCATACTTGACTTTTTGCATTTAAACAGCTCTAGCTTTTAAATTTTACTTATTACCAAAAAATAGTATTAACACTTTTGTTAAGCGATAAACAACAAATCCATTAAGGCGTATAACAATTTATTGAGACTTTTCATTGAGGGCTACATCCGTTTAAGTAAAAAATTTGCAACTAGCCCCGCCCTACCCTAGATACCACAGACTTATAGATCATACTAAAATATTACGGCCCTACAACAAGTTGTTTAATTTTAAAAATTCGTCGAATTTTGCAATAATAAGTATCGTCTTTTGGCATTAGAATTAAATTAAAACTTTCATCGACGTTTGCTCGAAAACGCCTGAACCGATTTCAAAAATTTAAAAGCCATTTGATGTATCCCAATGAGGACTATGGTTTTTCAGGAGACGATCTGTAAAGCCGTTATTTTGTAATTTGTATTCAACTTTTCGTCCACATTTCGTCCAGATAATACTACCAAATCGATTTTGAAAAATCATAAACTGTTCGAAAGATATTAGTTGGGAATGATACTGATTAGTTTTAGGTAAAAATCTACCAAGCCGTTTTCTTGTAATTAACTGTTGAAAAAAAATTTAAGCCGATGTTTATGAAACTTTTTTTGGCGATGTATATTATGGTATGGTCTTATAGAACTTACTGAAATATTACGGCCTTAGAATAAGTAGTTTAATTTTAAAAATTTATCAAAGTTTGAAAAAATGAGTAGTTTTTTTACGTTTGTTAAAATTAAAATTAGACGATTTTCTTGGTATAACGTTAGAGTGTTTGATGTTCGTTCGTTTTCAATTAGATAAATCCACTCGGAATACTTTTAATCAATCATAAATTTATTTATATTTTATTGATTAAGTCGATTATTTACACGTATCGGAAAGTTCATGTAAATTACCTCAAGGCAAAATACCAATACCAACTAGTTTTTTTTTTGCGAGTACTATAACCTAGTGCAATCTACTCGAAAATTTCCTGATTCGATAGTTTTAAATCCAGCAAAAATCTGATTTGACTCAACTTGAGTCAAATCTCCATATATGGACAAATGAAAGCTAAGAATTTATTCAGTAAATTAGTATTTACAGATTATTCAGTAAGTAAAATTTAAGAATGTATTGTGCATTTATTTAGTAAATCCAAATTTATTGTAAAAATGGTTGAGTTTAACCAATATACTCGACAAATTAAATGTGGTAATTATAATTCACCATAAAAAATGTGTAATAAAATTGATAAAAAATGATTTAATTTTGAAGACGGTTGAAATATATGCATGCAAAACAATATTTGGACTCTTCAGTCGACTGATTAAAGCCAAGTTTAATAAATGTTTCGAAGAAAATTTTATATAAATAATTGAAAGAACATTTCATAATCTTGAGTGGTGTATCCTGATAGCATTTAAAATCCATTCTACTACATATTACAAAAATAATCATGTTCTGAATCTATTGAATTAAAATATATTTTTAAAATCACCTATTTATTTTTTATCAAAATAAAGTATTCGTTCTCGGTGCCGTCTAATAAACAAATGCAGATGGTTAATGTAATGGCTCGCATGCAAGCGAGTAACTCGAATAATTCGATTCAATACATAAAAAATTGAACTAATTATTATGTACATTTTGACACTGTATGTCTGTCATCATCATAAAATATTTTATAAAGTTCAATAAAAATTACAAGATTACCAGAATGTATGACAAATAAAAATATCGATACATACCAAACCAGGAAAAAACACAACACTTGCAACACACAATTTTTAAGATATTGTATCATAAAAAAACAAAATAATAAATTAAAAATAATAAAATTGTGTGAAAACATTTGGTAAATTAAAACGCTGGATGGATTGTTAATAATATATATTTTAATAGATCTTTACTCTTCGGCGGTGTATGATATAAGAGAGCGAATCTTACAATTTCGACGTAAAAGTTGCGCCAGGTTATGTCAAACGCGAACATTGCGATTGACTTACATGTTACCAACATACAAGACGCTGACGCTTCGTGCTAACAGTACGCACGAAGCGCGCGGTTTTTAAAGTTAAGAATGAACAATTTTGTCCATGCTCCCCCGCGATGCAAGCATCACGTATTATTAAAAAGGAAGTGACAAAATTATTCTTACAGTAATCAAATTAAAATGATATATATATATATGATATAACAATAATAAAGCAATATAATATGATATAACAAGAAGATTAATGATAGTGTGTAATCAAAATGAGTACACCAACAGTGGACTGTATAATCTAAATATAAATTCAACATTAATATTTATGCAATCAACAAACATAATGTTAAACATAATTAAATCTTAATAATAAGAAAACATAATATCCTAAATAGCGATTGAATTAACACAAGTAATATTTTTTACTAATTTATCTAATATTTATTTATTGATTAATTTATCGTAGCCTAAATTAAAAGGAATATGTAAACAAAACAGTGAAACACAAGAACAAATACCGATAGTGACTTACAATCTATTGACAGGGTAGTATAACAATTTTTGTAACTGGACGAGTATATGTCCCACTACTAGTTTTGACTGTCACTACTCTAACTTTGCCATCTTGGCCTGGCTTGGTGTCTATTACACGCCCAACGGGCCAATGTAATGGAGGCAAATTGTCCTCCTTTAACAACACTATTGCATTTAAATTAATATTTGGTTGGACCTGTGTCCATTTATTTCTTTTTTGTAAATCATTAAGGTATTGTTTTGACCAAAGTGACCAAAATTGGTCACGCATAGATGATATTTGTTTAAATAATTTAATTGGCTTAACTTTGGATGCATCACTAAAAGGTTCTGGAAAGGCTGTTAATGCACTTCCAATAATGAAGTGCCCCGGACTGATGTAAGCTATATCGGTGCTGTCATCCGTAAGGGCGAGAATAGGTCGAGAGTTTAGTACAGCTTCGATTTGACATAAAAGCGTTGTATATTCCTCAAATGTGAGGCAATGAGACCCGATAATTCTTCTGATGTGATGTTTCATCACTTTGATAGATCCTTCCCATAATCCTCCAAAATGAGGAGCATGGGAAGGCGTGAATTGCCATGTAATACCTAAATTCGATGACGCAGTGATTAATTCCCCTTTTGACTTATCGGACTGAAATAATGTAGCTAATTGCCGCAATTCAGACTTTGCGCCTACAAAGTTTCTCCCGTTGTCGCTGTGGATGACTGAACAGCACCCACGTCTTGATATAAAACGACGTAAAGCCGATAAAAAGGCGTCTGTCGATAATCCAGACACTAATTCAATATGGATGGCCTTAGTGGCCATACAAACAAACAGGGATATATAGGCTTTAATGCGAGGTGCCTTCCTCAATCGACTAGCTCTCAGTAACACTGGCCCTGCAAAATCCACTCCTACAATCTGAAATGGCCTGTAAGCAGTGACCCGGTCTTTTGGCAAACTTCCCATTAACTGCTCTGCACAAGTAGCCCTAAACCGAGCACACTTTACACATTTGTGTATTATGCGCTTGACAGTATTGCGACCATCTATAGGCCAGTATTTTAACCTGATGTTTGCTAAAGTTGTTTGGGTACCAGCATGTAGCAAACGTTCATGCTCTGACCGAATGAAAATGTCAATGGCCAAATTGGCCTTTGGTAAAATGATTGGGTGTTTTTGGTCATAACTAATATCCGCATTCTCTAGTCGACCACCTACTCTTAGTAAGCCTTCGGCGTCCACAAAGGGATTTAACGCCTTCAGCTTTCCTAAAGATGTACTGGACAACTCACCGGACATCAACTGATCAGGGATATTACCAAAAACTTTCCTTTGGGCTAAGTAAAAAATGCGTCTGGAGGCTTCCCTTAAATCGTCAACAGACAAGACATCTGATACCGGTTGTCCATCTGGTTTTCGAGAGCGAAATATTTTGAACCACCGAAAGCAATATGCAACCACCCTGACTATTTTATTGAATTTGGAAAACCTTTCTACTAAATGGTCCAAAAAACTATCGTCAATATTGACCTCAGTTGTTGCAAGTACTCGGCGCTCCGGAATAGCTTCTTCCTTTACAACATCTGCAGGTCTATTCGGCCATTTACAAGATTCTTCTACTAGCCAGGCTGGTCCATTCCACCACAAATTGCATTCTACCAATTCCAATGGTGTTTTTACACCCCTTGAAACTATGTCTGCAGAATTGTCTTTACTGCCGACATGTCTCCAAGCGATGCCTGGTGTAAGATCCAGAATCTCAGCAACTCTATTACTGACAAACATTTTTAATAGAGCGGGATCTGTCTTCAACCAAGCTAATACAATGGTGGAGTCACACCACAAAAACGATTCAGAAATTTGTATTTTTGTGATTGTCATTATCTGCCTATAAAGCTTTGCTAAAAGCAAAGCTGCCGATAACTCCAATCTGGGCAAAGTAACATTTTTTAACGGCGCTACCTTAGACTTCGAGCAAAGCAATCTCGAAGACGTTGTGCCATCTGCATAGGTAGCCCGAAGGTATATACAAGCACCATATGCATATAATGATGCATCTGAAAATCCATGACATTGGATCGTCACAGGAATTGAATCAAAGATCTTTCGTGGGATGATAAGGTTGTCCAAATCAGCGAGATGCCTTTTGAACAGTACCCATCTATCTTGCAACTCTTGTGGCAAAGACTCATCCCAGCCAAGATTCTGCCTCCACAACTCCTGCATAATCAACTTAGCGGTCACAGATACTGGAGAAATAAGACCAATGGGATCATAGATCTGTGCAATGGTGGACAGTACCGACCGTTTTGTGTCAAAGCCCTTTCTAACCTCCGTCTCCCCTACCTTAATATGCGAAATTTTGAAGCAATCCTGACAGGGGTTCCATGCAAGACCGAGGGTTTTGACAGTGTCTACCTCAGAAAATAACGCCATGGCAGAACTTTGATTTTCTTTAGGTACTGACCTCAACACTTCTCTACAATTGCTAGACCATTTATGTAAGGAAAAGCCTCCTTTACCTAAAAGTTCAACAACATCCCTTTGCAACCTAACTAATTCGACAGCTGAATCTGCTCCAGTGATTATGTCATCTACATAGCAGTCCCCTTCTATAGCCAGCGCTGCCTGTGTGAATGTTGTCATATTATTTTGCGCAAGCATCTTCAAACAGCGCATAGCTAAATACGGGGCGCTAGCAGTGCCATAAGTCACGGTAGTCAATTTAAAGAATTTTAGGGTGTCCTGGGGTGTTTCCCTCCATAGGATAATTTGATAATTTTGGTCTGCTTCCCTGACTCTTATTTGCCGATACATTTTTATAATATCTGCCACAAAAACAAATTGATGACACCTAAAGCGAACTAGAATAGAAAATAAATCTTGTTGCAGCTTCGGTCCTGTGTGCAGAATATTATTTAAAGATATGCCTGAAGTTGACTTGGCCGATGCGTCAAACACTACTCTAATTTTGTCAAAGTTATTATCTTTGACCACTGGATGATGCGGCAAAAAATAGTACTTATTCTTAGCAGCTTCCTCCAGTGTCAGCACCATCTCCTCAGCATGACCTAAGTCGATATAAGCTTTAACAAAATTAGAGTAGGCCGTGAACAAGGCATTGTCCTTGGCAAACCGCCTCTCCAGGTTCAAAAATCTATATTTGGCAACAGCGAATGACGATCCCAGCTTATCTATTTGGTTATCTACAAATGGCAAAGCCACCTCAAACTGCCCATTCTCAAGTCTAGCTACATTTGCAATGAAATGATCCTCACATGCTTTGTCTGACCCAGTCATTGTGTAATTAGAGGATACCTCCTCTAACTGCCAGAACTTTGTCAGACTATCATGAAGATCTTCATTGGAAATGAAGCCAACATGTGCACGGCTCTGCATTTCTGATGCGTATACACCAGAAATCAGCCACCCAAAGCAACTTTTCCTAAGAATGGGAAGATGATTACCTAAGCGAATGCACCCCTGCTGTAAAACTTCAAAATATAGTTCAACTCCAATCAGCATATCAACTGCACCTGGAACGTTAAACATGGGGTCTGCCAGCGAAACATGGTCTGGAATCTTCCAGCCATCATACTCTATATAAGCAGACGGTAACAATTGTGTAATTCTGTCTACAGCCACACAATTGATAGTGCGCGCAAAGACTCCTACCCTTGACTTTATAGTCAGCTTGACAGACTTATCACAAAGCACACTCTGCCCTTGCAACATACTTAACTTGTGAAATGACGAGCTGACCGGACATTTTAACTTGGCAAGTAAGGAAGTCGTTATTAAATTAATTTGCGAGCCACTATCAAGCAAAGCCCGTACCTTATGTTGGGTTCCATCTGAGTCAATAACAACAAGAGAAACCGTTGACAACAAAGTCTGCATTCCTGTACTGGCCATACATACTGTGCTACTAGAAGTACTGGGCTTAGGCTCAGGTTCCTCATGCAACAGAGCATTGTGTGGTTCTTTACATTTTGTACACGTATATCTGAATTTGCATTTAGCTACATTATGTCGAGAAGCCAAACAACGCGAGCAGATGGAAAGTTTATTAATAAAGGCTTTGCGTGCCTTAATATCAAGTGCCTTAAAGGAAGAGCACTGATAGAGCATATGGTCATCTTCCTTGCAATGAGAGCATAATTGAGCAGGTTTCTTGACAATTGTGTGAACTGACTTCGTGATGGTTGGTTTGCTGTCTGAACTACACGAATGCTCAAGAGCAGTTACCCTAAGTTCAAGAAATGTAAAGAACTCAACCAATGTAGGTAACTGCCCTGACGCTCGAGACAGATTCCAAGCCACCTTCGTACTACTGTCAAGCTTTCTGCTCAACATATGCAGCAAGACAATGTCCCAATGCTCTGCGGGTTCAAAGAAAGCTTTTAAAGATTGCACCTGTTGCCTTGCACCATTTAAAAGGGCTCTCAAATTTTCAAATGAGCCTTTGTGAATACTTCGAATATTTTCAATGCTCTGCAAATGAGCATTGATGATCAATAATTTATTACTGAAGGTTTTCACAACTAAATTATATGCTATTTCATAATTTTCATTCGTGATACTTATTGTAGAGATTAATTCCAATGCCGACGAAGTGAGAGCACCTTTCAAATAGTGCAATTTCTGTACAGGTGAAAGCTTTGAATTATTGTGGATAAGCGAATTAAAAATGTCAATGAATGCTGTCCATTCACTATATTCCCCATTGAATTTAGGTAAGACAATGTCTGGCAATTTCACATCCATCAAAGTGTTAGATGATTTTGTAGCCGGTTTTTGATGACGGTCAATAATAGTTTCAATATCCGCCATCATATCGAAATATAAATCAGAGTACCTTAAATATTCTTTAGTGTACACACCTGGGGAAATACTATTAAGCTGTACGTATGTCTCATCCCAACTATGGCATCGCTCCACGAGTTTCTGCTTCCGAACTGAAAGTGCCTTAATATTATCACCCTCACGGAATTCTGCTATAAACTTGTGAATTGCATCAAATGACGCTTTAATCATTTTGTAAGTACCTTCTAGTGATTCCACATCCGCCATTATGCACAATTATTATTTAACTACAAAAAAAATATTGCAAATATAATCACAAACCGTGACACAATACCTTAGTTAATATAAATAATGTATGCCTTGTGGTAAGATTAAACAAAAAAAACTAAAAATGACAATAAAATCTAACTATATGACTGATGAGTAATCTGCTACTCCTGTGCGAGTACAACCAGTCAGCAATACAGCAACAGTCTTTCACTTTTATATATTATAAGTGAACAATAGGTTTAATTAAAGACTCACGCCCTCGTGTATGTATTACACGAGTCAATAATAATCTTAATCCAGTCTCCACGTGTGATTTTGGCCTCGATATCCTCCCCAAATAGTGTGGAGATTTGCCAATTTCCAGGAACTCGTCGATCTGAACAGCGTGGTCACTACAAGACTCCCTTGGACAGCGACGTGAAACCTAACCTCGAAGTCCGGAACCCCCAGATCTTCTGAATGTCACGATTTCAACGCCCGAACTGCTTGCCCGTGTCGATAAAATTAATATGCTCTTCGTTTTGTTTACGAACGGCTTAGACAACTTCTAATGCCGCATGCGTAACCAAACAAAACACGCCGGTAAAATATTTGATATATAATAACTTTTCTCACCACAGTGTATAAAATCTCAAAAATAATACTTGCACTGGTTAATATCCGTGAGAAAGACCAATTTATGGTAAATTAAAACGCTGGATGGATTGTTAATATTATATATTTTAATAGATCTTTACTCTTCGGCGGTGTATGATATAAGAGAGCGAATCTTACAATTTCGACGTAAAAGTTGCGCCAGGTTATGTCAAACGCGAACATTGCGATTGACTTACATGTTACCAACATACAAGACGCTGACGCTTCGTGCTAACAGTACGCACGAAGCGCGCGGTTTTTAAAGTTAAGAATGAACAATTTTGTCCAACATTTGTAATGCATTGCAAAATCATGCCATACAAAAACTAAGAAATTCATGTAATCTGAATCCCAGATCAATTCTTGGAATTGCTAGAGATTTAAAAAAAGGTAAAACAGGGGTGGGAAAATAGAAACAATAATAAAACTAGGTATTAAAAATTAAAAATAACTAGTGGTGTACGGCATCGTGCCTTGGGGCAAATTGCTGGAACTTACCGTACCATAATTAAATATTCGAGGAACATTAAAGTTTTCAAATAGATTATTGTAAATACTGTAACTTACATATGTTTACAGAAAAGTAAATAAACAAAACTGAATCAATAAATTTAAAATGAAGGACATTGTCTAATTTTTATAAGAATGATATAAACTGAATTGCAAGGAAGAAGATATTTATTTGAAATATATTAGTGAGCTTTAGAACTTTAGCTAGAATTAAAATTTAAATCTAAAATATTTTCAATATTCAAAAGAAAAAACTTTTTGGAAATTAAAATCAGTTGCTTAGTACTATCAAAAATTGCCACATTCTGCAGATTTTGCTCGGTATCTCCGAAACGGCTGGACTTGCCTTTACCAAAAACTAATTACCATTTATCCCCATCATTACGAAATGAATGTTGAAGGAGATATGAATTATTTAAATCGCAGGATTCGTTATCTCAAAAACTCGATTTCTATTTTCTGCACGCTATGGTTCATATCTCCGAAACGGCTGGATCTGCCTTTGCCAAAAACTAATCAGCACATCTCCCTATCAATAGGAATCGAATGTGTTTTGAACTATTCAAATCGATTAATCCGTGTGCCAAAGAAAATGCGGACACACAAAACACACACATACACATTCATTTTTTCTGAAAGCTTCAAAACGTGAAGAAATGCAAAAAAATTCATTTTTCATTCTCATTCTCATAACTCATTCTCATTACTATAACTTACCCTCAAAATAAAAAAAATATATTGAAAAATTAAAATTTAGTAGTGGTGCATATGCTTGATCCTTCCGTTCCGAACCAATTTGTTGGAACTTCTCGTACCGTAAATTAAAATTTATAAAAATGCTTTATTAACTTCCCGTAGGGTAAGTTATAGTAATCGTCCAAAAATCGAAATCAAAAATTTTTACATTTCTCGACGTTTTGAAGGTTTTTGAACATTTTGGCATACTTCAGAAAAAATGGATGTGTGTGTGTGTGTGTGTGTGTGTGTGTGTTTTGTATGTCCGCTTTTTTTCGTCCACGTTTTCGGGCGCACGGATCAACCGATTTGAATGGTTTAAAAAACATTCGATTCCTATTGATAGGGAGATGTGCTGATTAGTTTTTGGCAAAGGCAGGTCTAGCCGTTACGGAGATATGGAGCAAAGAGTGCAGAAAATAGAAAGCGAGTTTTTGAGGGAACGGATCAACCGATTTGAATGGTTTAAAAAACATTCGATTCCTATTGATAGGGAGATGAGCTGGTTAGTTTTTGGCAAAGGTTGGCCCAGCGGTTCCGGAAATACAGAGCTAAATGTTAAAAAAATGGCAGTTTTTGAGAGAACTAAGTGTCCGATTTAAATTGCCTAAAGAACTTTCTGCTTGTTTCAACAAAATAATTGATTTTGGAAAAAAAAATTTTTTGTTTCTAATTTTTTTTCAAAATTTTTTTTTTGTAATTTTGGATTAAAAATTCAAAAAATCACCCAAGCTAAGCACAGTCTAAGCGCCACTCTGGTACAAATGTTTACCCAAGTGCGTTTAGACTGTTTATGTACTGGGGCACTTTTTCAATTTTGTGAAAATTATTGAAAAATGTGAAAATGCCGCCAAGCTAAGCACAGTATAAGTGAAAATGTCGCACAGAATTATTTGCAAATGCGTTTAGACTGTGACTATGCGGGGGCACTTTTTCAATTTTGTGGAAATTTGGCAACTATTTTTTTTTTTTTGAAATTTGATTCGAAATGAAATGACGATTGTTAATGTTCTGGAGATGATAAATTGATTTATTTATAATTAACTTTCCGTAGGGTAAGTTATAGTAATCGCACAAAAATCGAAAATGAAAATTTTTATATATCTTTACGTTTCAAAGGTTTCTGAATATATTGGCATACCTCAGAGAAAATTGATGTATGTGTGTGTATGTGTGTGCGTGCATTTGTGTGTGTTCAGATACAAATTTTCGTCGACGATTTCGGGAACCGGGATGAAGCAATTTGAATAATTCAAAAAACATTCGATTCGTATTGATAAGGAGACGTGCTGATTAGTTTTTGTCAAAGGCAGGTCCGTTCCGAAGATATGGGGCAAAAAGAGCCACAAACGGTAACTCAGTTTTTAAGAGAACGGATCGTCCGGTTTGAATAATTCAAAAACATTTTACTTGCATTATCAAGATGAAGATTTGATCAAATTTTCATGAAAATAGGTCTAGCGGTTTCGGAGATCTAGTAAAAAAAGTAAAAAAAAAATAATATTTGGCGGTCAACAATAATCATTAGACATTAGACATATGCACATCAAATTATCAGATATTTTTCAGAGATTTTAACAATATCAGAGATTTTAACAATAAGTATACATTTTGTTAACATTCCTATGGGTTCCGTACCAATGCTTATGCTTTAGACAGCGACGCGGCGCTTACGCGCTTCGATATTTAGTCTCTATGCATTAAAGCAGTACGATTGCTTTGAAAAAAAGTTCAGAGTTTCCAAAATATTTCAAAATAAATTTTTCAACAAAATGTAAGTTTTTGTCAAAAATTTATATAGTTCCTCAAAATTCTATTTTTTTTTTCAGAGTAAATTTTTGTTCAAAAATGTTAATCTTTTCAAAAAAAAAATAATTTTTGGTACGGGAAGTTCCAGCAATTTGCCTTAAGGCACGATGCCATGCGCCCCACTAGTTTTTTTTTCAAAAATTGACAAGATTAGATTTTTGAGATATTGAGCTATTTGAAAAATTTTGACTTATTTAAAAAAAAAGTTTTTTTATATTTTAATAATTGATTATATTTTATTTTTCTTTTAAATTTTGAACTTTTATTTTGATGCGCGTAAATGCCGCGTCGCTGTCAAACGGATACATGCAAACAAAATTTGTATTTCTCATTAAAATCATTATAAAATATCTGATTATTTAATGTTCATATGTCTAATGATCATTTTTGACCGTCAAATTATATTTTTATTACTTTTTTATTTGATCCAAAATCTCTGGACCTGCCTTTCCAAAAATTTAATCAGTTCTTCCTTTCGTCAATACAAATAAAATAAATTATTCAAATTGTTTCTCTAGAACTGAATTTCCATTTTTGCTTTTTTTCCCCGTCAGCAAAAATTTGTATCCGGACATACACATATATCAATTTTTTCTAAGATATGCCAAAATGTTCAAAAAACTTTAAAACGTAAAAATATATATAATTTTTCATTTTCGTTTTTTTGCGATTACCATAACTTACTATATAAAAAGTTAATTATACTCCAACGCAATCAATACGATGAACCCGATAACTATTATCACAATTAACTGGACTTTCGTTATTAATTTGCTATAATTGTATCATATGATATGATTAATATATTAATAATGTAAACAGGGGCGTAGCTACGGCCGTATCAGGCGTATAAAAATACGCATCCCCCAAACCAGGTAGGGGGGGGGCAACATCCGTAAGCAAACATTAATAATAATAAAAAATATTTCACAAAAAAAACAATTAATTATGAAAACTTTGTTCAATCAAAATTAATGTCGTTAAAAAAGTACGCAAAGAATGTAAAATTATTATTTTAAAGAGTTTTATTTTGTCCGAGCCACGGGAGCCCCAAACATGCGTAAACATTAGTTAAATCCAACGAATTTTTATTTTATTTCACTAATAACAAAGCTTAAAATAATCATAAAAACTTTCTTTCAAATAAATTTAATTTCGAAAAAAACATGAGCGTTCAAATTTTTATGATTTTTTAAAATTAATGGCTTGTCACAGGCTCATAATATTTTAGTAATTGTGATGGTTATGATCATGGAAAGTTTTATCAAAATTGTAATTTTTTTTTAACAACTAATTACGAAAATGCG